TGACCCCTGTCTGTCTGAGTCTCCCCAGTATTCCCTGTATTCTTCGTCTATCAGCTAGCTGTCCCCTGTACTCCAGCTGTCTACCCTGTCTTATGTCTTCCCTCCACATGTCTTCCCTGTCTCTTCTGTACCCCTGTCTCCCCTGTCCCCCAGACGGCCCTGTCTCCCCTGTATACCTGTCATCCTTGTCCCCTGTCCCGATCCTCAAACTTCTTATTTTTTCCCCTTTCTCTCCTGTATCTACCTCTACCACTATCTTGTGAAAGTCAGGGCGCAGTTTTCAATATTCCAGGAACACCATGTGCTTTGGAGTAGGTCCCCCTCCTGCTTTCTTTAATAATAGATACACAGGGTTCGCGGTTATCGAAAAAAAAGGTAATGGCCTGGTCTTCCAAAATAGATATCCCATCCTTAACAGAGAGAGTATAGGAAAAAATGCATTTACAAGTAAAAAATTAACAATAAAATGATACTAATGAATCATAGAAAGCGGGAGCTCTCTTGGCAGACTCTCTGCCTTTCATTTGCCTCGACTTAGATTTGGGTTTTGTTTTCAAGCCGTTTCTACTGCTTTTTGGATGAATTAACAAAAGAATTCCCGGTTTCAACGGTAGCTTGCTTTTCCACAAGGAGTTAGCATTTCTTAATGGATAAATATTTGTATTTGTGGAGAGCAAGGGTTTTTTTTTAGATTGAAGAGTATCTATATCAAGGTTTCATTTAACTGTTTGAGTCAACAAAAGTTTCTAAAATTACAGAATGTAATCAGGGGCATACGAGGGGGGGGGCATCCCACCAACCTCCCCCCTGAGGTAAGGCACTCATGGGGGGGGCTCTTTTAATATTACATCTGCTTGCTTTTCCCTTCCTCAGACAATCTACATTCTACATTGTATTGCATTGCACTTATCCAAACTAAAGATTAAGAAAAGAAATAAAATATATTCTGATTCACAACAATACCCTTTAAAGCTTTGTCTGATCAAGTATTGCATTAAACACCCATGTTTCCCATTTTGAAAACTGAATATTTTTATTTGTGGTTTCCCTACAAAAGTGACTCGGGCATTTCTTGCTTCAGAAACGATGGAGAAATGAAGGTTTCAAAGGTACATCGGACATGCCACTCTATAAATGAAATTACGCATGTATTCCATTTAGGTATAAATACATCGTATAGAAAAAAAATACTTTAAATCTCACTTTTTCCCTTAACTAAAAAAGTTTCATAATTTATTATACAATATGTTTCAATCCTATGAAAATAAAGATATTTTTTAGAAACGTTTCTATCTATATTTTGTATCCCTTGAAGCTTACACCACAGTATTAAGAGGGATTGCCTGATTTTATTTTATCTTTTACTTTATTCAGTTTTAACCGGTCATCATTATTTTGTGTTTGTATTTTCTTTTTCGATTTTTCTCCCCCAACAACTCTTTGAGTCTTTAGTTTTTATTCTCTCTTTTTCCTCATTTGGAAACTTTCCTTTTATTTCACAGTTACATAATCTCTTTTATAATGTCACTTTTAATTTGAAATATATACTTTGTAAATTGTAAGATGAACTTAAAATTAACTTTTAACTTTTTAATTTATTCTCCTCGTTGGTACAAAGTACGTGCAAAACTGCTGCACCAAGGCGGCTGAATCATCAATTCGAGATTTTTCCGTTTTTTTCGCCGATTATTAAACAGAAGTTTTTGTATCGTATAGAAAAATGTTTGTTTTGAATTTTTGCAAAGTTAGGTATATTTTACAATGGCAGAAAAGTGGATAAAAATGTTGTTAAAATATCTCCGAGTCTGCATATCAGGTTTCCTTTTAACCACTGAAAGAAACTCCTATACATTCTCATTCAGCCAACATTCAACCACCCCTCTCCAAACCTTCATTACCAAATTCGTCTCCATTTATATTTCTATCCCCATGGGCCCTGGACGTGGACACCCTCTTCCCTTGATTTCCAAAGCATTCATGGGTAACTTTTTGCTTTTCCTTTTTACCCTAAAAGCATTTTTGAACCCCATTCTCTATTCTCCATTATTATAGGTCTAGATTCTATTTTGAAAAAATACCCTGTTTGATATATAATCATGTTATGATGGTCCTACAGTGTACTGCAGACTTGCAGTGTACTGATGTGTACTGCACACTTAATTTATTTACATGACTTTCTTTTCTAAAATATTTTTTTCCTGTGACCTATAATGGTGGTTTCAGTACAAGCTGGGAAAAAGTCCATCATAAAAAAGAATATGACTTATTTTCAAAAGACTTTCATTTATTTCGTATTTTTTGTGTATTTTTATTTCACAGATTTCTTTTTCCAAATACTTCATTATCTTTACTATAGATGGATTCTTAGATTTATAGTTTTTTTAGTTTATACCAATCACCTCCCCTTGGTTGGCTCTAAAGATAAAAGAAAAAAGTTTTAGAATATGCAAATCATTTTAAATTCCTTGTGATATAACCCTGATAAAAGATATCAGAAACCATGAATGCACTGAATAAAAGATATCAGAAACCATGAATGCACTGAATAAAAGATATCAGAAACCATGAATGAATAAAAGTGGGGGATAAAACTTATTCATTAAGTACGTAGATACATTAATTGCAATTATTATTTTTTTTTGACAAAAAAACTTTGTTTCCAATTATTACGAAATATGCAAACCGAATTTCAAAATGTCACTGAAAGTAATTGTTTTAAAAAAAGTTTTTATAGATTTCAATTTTCAATTTAATGACATTTTTTTCTGTCATCTGTTGTCGATTTTGCAATTTTTTAAAGTTTTTTTATAATATGATATCAATAATATTGCACATTGCGAACTGCAAATTAGGTATTCGTGACTAATCAAAATTCTTGTAGATACATGTTTATTTTGCTCTCATGCATTTTTTTCACGTCTTCCTGAAAAGGTTTATTGGATGTAATATTATGCTGTGAAAAGTACGCTTCTAAAATAAACAAATCGTACTCTGTGTAATTGTGTGCTGTGTACTGTGTACTGTCTTCTTGTGTGCCTTTTAATATGTACTGTGTAATTGTGTGCTGTGTACTGTGTACTGTCTTCTTGTGTGCTTTTTAATATGTACTGTGTAATTGTGCACTATGGTCTATGCACTGTATCCTTGTGTACTGTGTACTTTTCTTTTTGTACTTTCTAGTCTTGACTGTGTACTCTGCACTCTTCACTTTATGCTGTGTACTCTAAACTGTGAACATGTGCTGTGAATTATACTCAGAAAATGTTATTGTATTTTATGTACTGAGAACTGTGTGGTGTGTATTCTGGCTCAAAACTGTGTAATTTGTAATTAGAACTCTGTAATAGGTAGTTAGAACTGTTCCCATGTACTGTAACTTATGTACTATGTACTGCGAACTATGTACTGTGTATCTAAATGTTTACCAAATAAACTCGTTATACCCCCTTATCTCTTTTCTTTGCATGATAAAGAAGAAAAACAAGTTTTTATCTCTAGGCTTAGTATCAAGGGTGTATAAGGAAGGAGGGAG